GGAATGCAGAGTGATAAATCAAAACAGACATACCCTGCTTTCAAGAAGCTCACAGTCTATTCCAGGGAAAGAATGGCCAGATCATGTTTGGTCTTTGGGGCTGACAAGCTATGGGATTTAAGGCAAGTCTATTCTACTGTGTTAGCCTCAGATCTCATATTGAGGTAGCTGGATTTAGATGAGTGGTTTTCCACCTTATTGTGAATCACAGTCACATGAGAAATGTGTTTAAAAACACATCTTCCTGGCCTCCTACTCCCAGATATTTTGATTTAATAGGATCAGGGTGGGGCCCAGGAATTTACAACTGTAATGAGGGCCAGTTCTCCCAAGAACCACCCTTTGAGGAGACTGATGAGGCTGTAAACCCATCAGTACCTGCATGAGATCTGTGCTGTCACACCTGTATTCCCAGTGCCCAGCACAGTGCCTGGCATAAAACAGGTCTCAGTAAACATTGGGTGATGATTTGAATGATCTTCCCAGGGGGCATCCGTGGATGGACCTCAGAGCCTCCTGAACCACCTGAAATTGACCATGGTTTTTGGTAAGGTTTGTGGATAGGATCCTAAAGGCCCTTTGGGCTCTGAATACTCTGTTATTTAAGAATTGAAATCAGTATTTTCTCCTACCAAAAGCTCAGACCTATTACTGGAACTCTTTTTAACCTATGTAGTAAAATTTTAGTCCTGTATCAAGGTGATTTGGTGAGTAGATGTGAATTTATAGTAGAGTCTTAAAATCCTCAAGTAATTGATACCTACATTCTACGTGTGAATTCTGAACGTGTTCAGGCTATACTGTGTATGATTTTCTTGGGACATCTGAAAATACCTTTGGGCAGGTAGTGATGTCTGCTATTTTCCAGGTGGGAAAATTGAGGTGCCTGTGACTCCTGTAGCTTGCCCAAGGTCATATTGCCCAAGAGCTCTCTCCACTAAAAACTATCCTGGGAGTCAGAACATGACTGTTAACACTCTTGCCTGCTTGTGTTGACTTAGTTGGGTAGCTTAGCCTCTTTGGGCCTCAGTTACTCCATCTGTAAAATGGAATAATGGCCACCATGATTGTTTCTGAGCAGCTGAACCGCTTAGCTTAGATATTCAAGGACCCTCTAGTAATTACATGCTTGGACATGTTGAACTGCCTGGGTCAGCAAGTTCTGTAGTCCTTTTAATTTGGGGAAATTGGAAGGACTAATGAGACCAACTAGAACAGTATAGGTCATCTCTGCAGATCATTCTGGATGTACCTCATTAAGATAAAGGCAGTGAAGGTGGTCAAATTAAGGGTGTGAAAATCCCTGAATTTTAGAACCTTAATTCTCTGTGCTGTCAGTTGAGCAATTCACTGTTCATCCTGAGACCAAGCTTCAAGGAGTGTATTTCTGTGAGGTCACAACTGTGAGATTCAACCCTAAGCCCAACTCCTAGCAGTATGGGAGACTTTGAAAACATAGGGATGCCCTTCATGGCATCTTAGGCTTTTGAAATGTCTTTTAAAGATCATGTAATCCTTGATACTCAAGAGTGTCCTATGTTCCTATGTTGATCAGCATCACCTGGGAGCTTGTTAGAAATGCAGAATCTCAGACTCCACCCCAGACCTCCTATATCAGGATCCATGTTTAACAAGATGCCCACATGACCGTATTGAACATTAACATTAGCACAGCACTAGCACTGACCCAGCACTGGAGTGCCCTCCTTCATATCCTTATGAACAGTTGCACATCCTATTCCTGGTCTCTTCTAACATCTCCTTCCAAGTCCTGTTTAATCTTGTCACATTCCAACTTTTGGATTGTTTTTCTCTGTCTTAAACTAACCCCTCAGTTATTTAGTAATTTCTGCCATTGGCACTTACTCTAGCCTCAGAACCTCATAGAACAAAATAATTCCTCCTTGTCAGCCACTGTTTCTTATCTACTGTCTTCCTACAAGACAGTTTCTAACCTTCCACAAATGAGAGATGAGAGCCAGGTGAAGTGCAATAAGGAATGGTGGGGACTGTAGCAAACCAGAGCGACATGCCCTGCCTAGGCAGGGCAGCTGTTGTTGTTTAGCTCAATTGTGGGGCTGAAGGAACTGAGTCTAAGCATTGACGTGGCTTTTGAGTTTTCAAAAGAAGCCAAAATCTTGACAAAACAATAAGAAATCTCCTTTTTTTTTTCCATGCTGTAAATTAAAAAAACAAAAACAAAAACCTCAAAAGCCTCTGGATTTTTTTTGTCAGCAATCAACCATGCCTAAGGCTTTTGTGACCTTTAATGATAAATATCTGCTCAACATGGATACTATAGCCCAATTTGGATATAAGACCAGGTTTGGTCTGACTAACACAGAGCAGGTAGGATTATGGCCTCCTTCATGCTAAAACAGTAGTTCTCAAACTTGGGTGTACATCAGAATATCTTGAAGGGCTTGTTAAAACATGGATTGCAGGACCCCAGCCCCAGAGTTTCTGCTTCAGGAGCCATGGGGTGGGGCCCAGGAATGAGCATTTCTGACTCGTTCCCGGGTGGTGCCGTGCTGCTGGCTCACATTTGGAGAACCACTTTAGATGGGCACCTTCCATTAAGACAGGCTTGACTTGCTGAAGCCTCTTCAGTTCCACCAGAGACCTAAGTAGTCAGCTGATGTTCCCAGGCTTTGCATAATGGAAAAGGGAAAAGGAATTGTGAGGCAGGGCTGGATAAAAGATTGCTAGATATCCTTGACCAATCACTCCTGAGTGTTCTCCTTTGGCAGGTCCCTGACTCACCCCAAGGCTTAGCCACCCTGTAAATAGGAAAGTGGCCCTAGCTTAGTTTCCAAGTACTATTTATTAGTTGTTTGGAAATTTGTTAGTTTGTTTTTAGCACAGGGCCTTTTTAAAATGAAATCCCACAGGGAAACCCCACCCCCACCCCAGAGCAGAAAACAGATGCACTGATGGTCTGACTGAAGGGGGGTCAAGCTCTGACTCAGCCTCCCCCTTCCCAAGGCAGCACTGAGGTATCTCCTGTGGAAATGAAGCTCAACACAGTTGAAACCTGCTCAAGAACTTTCAGCTCAGCTTCTGTGAGTTCCGAGAACCCTAAGACCTGTTTGCAGGCAACATGGCCTTTATTTTCATAGCTCTCTTTCCAACTGAGATATATCTGGCCTGCCAACTTTCAGGATTTTCTTCTTGCAACTCGGAGAGGTCTGTAGGAGAAGGAAGGCAAAGGATTGTTGTTATCATTAGAGCTGTCCTGAGGATCTTGAGACATTGTGGAAAACCTGCTAGTGCAAGGCTCAGCCAGATACCAAACAGGCTCGGGAATAGTTTTATTCCAGTGGCTTCTTGCTAGTGCTGATGTTCCAAGGCCCCACATGTTCAGGGCCTTTGTAGCTAATTACATAGGAAATAGAACTGTTGCATCCTGCAAGCCGCAGTGGCAGAAACAAGTCTGTGGAGTTTTTAATGGGCAAGGCAGCATAGAAAGCCATTCTCATTTACAGTGAGCACAGGAAGATATTTGAACAGCCCTCCTGTGCAGTATTACCTTGGGAAGGCTCTAACTGAGCCCCAGGACTGTCTTTAGACTTGACTGTTGGCATGGGAAAGCATCTGGCACCTTCTGATGACCCCAGACTCTGTAATGTAGCCTTCTTTAATTAGGGAAACTGCTTCCTAATGGGTCCACCAGCGTGGGCTCACCTCCCAGACACACAATGGATGCTTTCAGAGCCTGGCCCCTGGGGACTACTCTCTTGTAACTGCTGTATATTGCTCTTTTCTTTCAGCCATCCTACTGCTTTGTTTATACATTCCACACATAATTGCCAAATGTGCACCCTCTTTGAGACTGTAGAGATGAGCAAGACCCTCCTTCTACTCCTGTGCTCAGAACTTCTCAGGCCAAGCCCAGCTCTGCCACACGCAAGTCTGTGCCCAGGCCCTCCGCCCTGACTGCCTCCCATTTCTGCTTGTCTGAAGCCCAGCCCAATACCCTGTGTCCATGAAACTTTCTCCAGTTCTCCCAGGTAGGAGTGAAGTCCTGTAGTGCCTTCTCTGAGCCCATCATCTAAGGTTCACTTATCCTGCCCCTGTCCAGTATATAGCCCCTGGCCACAAGTGGCTATTGAAAGCACCTGAAAGGGTCCGAACTGAGATTAACACATGTGTAAAGTACACACCAGATTTTGAAGACATAGTACCAAAAAAATTATAAAACATCTCAATTTGGTAATAAAAAGAAATGAAGTAGTGGCACTTGCTATAGCATGAATGAATCTTAAGAGCATTATATTAAACAAAAGTCAGTTTCAAAAGACCACATAGTATATGATTTCATTTCTGTGAAGTATCCATAATTGGAAATCTATACAGACAGAAAGTACAAAAGTAGATTATTAGTTGCTTAAGACTGTGGAGCTTGGGGTTGGGGAGATGGGGACTGAGGGTTATAGGTACAGGGTTTATTTTGAAGTGATGTAAATGCTCTAAAATTGATTATGGTGATGGATGCACAATTATATGAAAATATCTCAGTAATTTTTTACATTGTGCGTTGAAATGAAAATATTTTAGAGTATGTTGAGTTAAATAAAAAATAATACCAAAGCTAACTTCACTTCTTTTATTTTTTCAAATATAAATACTAGAAAATTGGAAGTCACATATGCAGCTTACATTTGTGGCTTGCTTATATTTCTATGGGACAGAGCTACACTCACCGCTTTCTCCCTTGGGGGAAGGAATGTCTGTCCATCTCATTTCTCTCCTGCTTGTTTGCGAGTTCCAGAAGGGTGGACACTGTGTGCTCATCATCCTTCTGACCTTTGCACACCTGCCTGGCACATGGCAGGCACTAACAGAGGTATACCGAGGGGATTAATAAATGAACAAAGGAACTAATGATAACAGACACTTAGTACCAAAAATTCCTTGAGACAGTAGAATTTCTGGGTCTCTGTTATGAAACTTAATTCTCCTTTTCTTCTTTTTTACAGTTTTTGTCTTTTCTTTTTAAGGGCTTACACAATCAGCAAACGAAGACATTTTTTGTGGGAAATGGGCAAAAGCTGAAGGACTGGCATGACAAAGAAGCCATCAGGAGGGATGCTCAGCGCGAAGGTATGGAGAAGAGCAGGCTTGTTCACGGCAGGCCCTGTGGAGGGAGCATGCACACACGTGTGTGTGTTTAGTGGGGGTATACAGACCTCCTGTGACTCCTGTCCATTCGCCATCATCCCTTCCCCTGATTCCCAGAATCCTCCCTCTTTACCTGTTAGCTGACCCCTTTCTCCGCTCATATCAACAGATCTACTGCCTCCAGGAATTTGCTATGCTACCTTTATGGGTGATAGAAAATCTCTCTCTCTTATAAGATGTTTTACCACTAAAAAAAAGTAGTAGCAATAAGAGCCCACATTTATTTAACACCTACAGTGAGCAAGGCCCCTGCTCCACATTTTGCACATTTTCTTGGTGAAACCCTGAATCAACCTTTGGCACATTTGACAAGATGGGACCTGTAGGTCAAGAGAGGTGGAGTAATCTGCCTGCAGTCACACAGAGAGAAAGAGGCAGGCTTGGGTCTTTAATCCAGGTCTGGACGGCAAAGTTGATCCCTATACAGCCCTGCAGTTATAAAGTTGAATGGAGTCATGGGCTTCAGCTAAAATTATCTTTGACTAATTAGTCTTTGGAGCAGTTCCTGTTATAATGAGGAGTTGGGAAGGGGTGGGTTGGGATGGCGTGTACAGAACTTATGTGGAGGGTCATCCCTAGGGAGCCCAGACTAGGGGTCAGAAGAGCAGCTGTGACACCACTTAGCAGTCATGTGGTCGTCAGATCAATTCTGAGCTCCTTGAGCCTTGGTTTCCCCATCAGTGAGGCTCCTGCTCCTGCTTGGACAATCTCAGGGTGTTTTTGTGAAGGTGGTGAGTACAGTGATGGGTATGAAGTAGTTTTATAATACTAGGAAGCCCTATAGAAATATAAGAGATGTTTATTTATAAGGGGTATTTCATTTGTTTTTTATCTCAGAGAACCCATTATCTTGATTTTTTTAAAAATTACATTATGACAAAACCAGACTACAATAAATCTCTGAATAAAGCTGATCATCTTAACTGATGATCAGGGACATCTAAAGATATGATGTGCATTTTTCTGTATGCAAGTGATTTAAAATGAAGGGGGCGTACTGCTTAAATTAAGAAAAGAAACATTTGAAGAGCTTATTTACAGGCAGTTATGCTGAAAGCATTAGAATATGGGGCTAATTAGAAAGAAAGAGTAAGCAATGGAAACATTATTGAGAATAATAACCAGCATGTGTTGAGTGCTAGCTATGTGCCAGGCATCTTGCCCTGCATTACCTCCTTAAGCACCACACCGAACCTTCTTATCCCAATTAATGCAATGGACAAAACTCAAGACACAGAAAAACTGATGGCATGCCCAAGATGACATAGCTGGGAGGAGCAGGGCTGAGCTTCAAACTGCTCTGCCTGACTCCAGGGCCTGAACTCTGAATCATTCCCTGGCATGCCTTCTTGAAGCTTCCCTCCCCGAGCAGATGCTTCTGCTCTTCGTCTGCTGCCTGCTGCATTTGTGTCTCTTGTGGAATCTGTCCTGCGCACTAGCCAGCATGCGTATCTTGGAGCATTGCAAGTTACAGATGGCAGAGTCCTCTCCTGCATCGTCTGGGTTGGAGTAGGAAGCCCTTGGGCTCCACCTCTCAGCTTGCACCTTCCCATCAACCTGCTGTTGTCAACATTTACTTTGCAAAGTAAACAGGGTGTTGCTCAGACCACAAGCTCTAGAAGATGAGGTGATTTTTAACCAGCTGATTATATTACCATTTCCTTGAACCCCTCACCAGTGGAGGGTTCTTAGGCTGTTACTGCAGGGGTGTGGACATTCCCACTCACCATCTGCCCAGAAAATGATTTCCTGAAGCATCAGGGACTCTTTCCTCAGCTGGACTGTGCAGAGAGAGGAAAGCTAGCACTTTATCCACTCAAAGCCATGGCTGAAAGCAACACTTTTCAGGCATTTCTGGCTCGGGCTGTGCAGATCTAAATTTGCTAGCTTAAAGATCAAAGCATCTTTCATCATTTGTGGTGATATTTATTTACATACAAAGTTTGCCTTGCCTAGAGAGTAATTCTAATATATCCTCACATGTATACAGTATTTTATTGTTTATACAAATCTTTCACATATGCATCCTCTCATTTGACCCTCTCAACATGTTGTGCTTCCCAGATGGGAGCAAGGTGCCATTTAGAGAGGAAGTGTGACTAGCCCAAGGTTGGTCAGTTCATATGTGGTAGACCTGGCCTCCCATCCAGGTGTTGGACTCTGAGGCCCGGGATGTTTGAGCCTCCTGGCAAAGTGGGGAAGGCATGGACTTTGAAGCCCAGCAACACGGCTTCATAAACTTTCTGAGTCCTGGTTTATCTGTCTATAAGATGAGGGCTCCGGTGTCCACCCCAAAGACTTGCTGTGGAGAGTACATGAGAATAGGACCATAAAGTACGTGGCACAGTCATGGCTGAATACATGCTCATTTCTCGCCCCTCTTTACACCTCCCCTGCAAAATCTGGAGGTACACCCTGTATCCAAGTGTGAAGGTTTATCTGTGTGGTTTAATCATACTTTTCATCCTTCTTTACCCACTCCATTCAATTAGCAACATCAACTTTGCTCTTTGCTTGTAGGAAATGGAGAACAAGGGAGACCTTACCCCATGACCGACGCTGAGAGAGTGGATCAGGCATACCGAGAAAATGGATTTAACATTTACGTCAGTGATAAAATCTCCCTGAATCGCTCTCTCCCTGATATTCGGCACCCAAAGTGAGTGTAACCTTTCTCATTTGCTGGGATCTATGGATTTTGCCCTTGGCTCTTGTTAAGCGTTAATTAAAGAAACAGGTACTTAGAGAGCTGCTGGAGGAGGTTCCCCTGTGGCACAGGGCCTTTGTGCAGAGCTTGGTGGATCAGATTCTCCTAGAATTTAGAGGTGGAGTGGTACACAGACGTTGTCTTCCCCAAAAAGCTGGTCTCCTTCCTCTTTCTGGGCAGTGGAACCATGGGACCTCTTCAGGGAAGTTCAGACCTCAGTTTGGAAGATGAGTGCTGTGACAGTTTCAGCCTTCTCCCAACCTTCTGTGTGTGACATTTTATTACTTCTTTTTAAATCTTTATTTTAGCTATCCTGTGCACCTATATAGTTAGTCTTTTTCCCCAGAATCCCTTTCTATAGTTACCTCTTTTTTATAAGCTGTCTCAAATCATTTTGACAGAGGACAAATTGTAACAATTATAAAGATAGCATCCTTTGAACAGGTATTGTGTGCCATGCACTTTGTTTGCATCGTCTCAGGTTCCTCTGAGGAGGTAGGTCCTGTAAGGATACCCGTTTTACCTGTGAGAAACTGAGGCTTAAAGGAGTGTCATTACTCATGCAAGGGCCACAAGGTGACAAAGAAGCTGAGCCAGTTCAAGCAAAAGCAGTTTTCTGGACCTTAAGCTTTCCTGCCCCACTGGACTTTTTCAGTTGGGTTACTGTGGTCAGAGTGATTTTCTAATAGAGCAATAGTTCTCAAAATTGAGATGCATTAGAATCATCTGGAGAGCTATTAGAGCCCAGGATGTTGGGCTTCATCCCATAATTCCAGATTCATTAGATCTAGTTTGAGGCCTGAGAACTTGCATTAGAAAAAAGCTCCCACATGATGCTGGTGCACCTTGTCTTAGATCTACACTTTGGGGACCACTGTAAGTAATAGATTACAAAGTGACTTCTACACAAAGGCAGTACTAAGTGGCGCTGGGGAAAAGTGTTTTGCTCAAGTACTCAGAAAGTAGAGGCCAGGAAAACATGGTAACAGCAAACGCCTACTAGGTGCTTACCCCATGCAAGGCATTGTTTTAAGCCAGTGGTTCTCGAAGTATGGTCCCCAGACCCAGCAGCATCCCCATCACTAGGAGACCATTAGATATGCAGATTCTTGGATCCCAGCCCAGATCTACTGAATCAAAAGCTCTGGGTGGAGCCCGGCAATCTGTATTCTAACAAGCCCTCTGGGTGATTCTGATTCGAAGCTGAAGTTGTAGAGCCAGTGTTCTGGGTACTTTAAGAACTTTGGCATTAATTCAGCAAAACATTCGAAAGATCCTGTGAGGAAGGTACCTTAATCACCAGCAATTTGCAGAGAAGGAATTGAGGCACAGAAAAGTTAAATAATTTACAGAAGATGACACAATTGGTAAGAGGTGCCAGAATTTGAATATAAGGAGTCTAACCTAGAATCCATAACATAATAAGATCTCTCCACCTGTAAGAACTCAGTTGGTAGAATGCAAAAATAAAAAATTAATCTTCGTAGTATGTTTGGCTACATACAAAATGCTTTCTGTCCCAATACATCTTTGAGTTCCTGCAACAGTGCTTTGAGGTTGGTGTTGGTATTATCACCTCCACTTTGTAGATACTAAACCACAGAGGAATCCCCACCCGAAAGGCGTGCTGCTGCCCAGGACTGGGCCCTATTCCTAAGGAGTTCTTGCAGTGAGGGGAGGGAGAAAAGGGGCCACAGAGCGCCTCCCTGTGAGGTTTGCAATTTGCTTCATGGTCTTCAGGGTCAAGCCCGAGATTTTTTCAACCAAGTATGAGAATGTAGTTCAAGTATTACCGATGTTGCTGGATTCAGAAGTGTGACCTGACTCAAAAGGGTCAGAAACTCAATTGATATGTTTAACTCCTTGCAGAGTTCAGAATTCTGCACTAATTTCATCTTGGTGAGTGCAGGACAGAAGTTCATCTGGAGCATTATACTCTTACCCCAGCCACTGCTCTGTGGCCCTGTGGGCGCTCAACTCTGGGTGTGCCTGGGTGGTTTTAAAGACATACTAAGGCCAGATTGCCACCCCAGACCACTGTAATCTGAATCTCTGGGGGTTCAACCTGGGGTCTCAGTGTTTTCTAAAATCTCAGAAAGCAATTTACACATATTATAACCAGGGCTGAAATAACCTGTGAAATAAGGAATATTTTTACAATGAGAGAGAGAAGCTGGGCCTGGTTACATCTGTTCATTCAGTAAATATATATTAATGGTCTTTTATGTGCCAAACCACGTGCTTGACTCCAGGAAGACAATGATAAATGAGCCATTATTTTCGCCTTGTACAAGAGGTGGGGACAGCTGGCTTAAGCAGGTTACTACCCCACAGAAGAGAAGAACAGTCAGAAGGGCAGGGGCAGATGCAGAGTGCTGCGGAGCACCAGAGGACACCCCCACCCTGCACCAGCCTTTGCAGAAAGACATTGCAGATGGAAAGGGAAAGAGTGTACATTTTTAATGGGGGAGACTCCCATCTGGGTAGAGGTGGAGCCAGGCAGGGGCCTGCCCCTGTGTCTCCCAGTACAGTACTCTCCCCCTACAGTCCAGAAAAAAAAAGGTCTTCTTAATCTTGTTAAAGATTAAGACAGGTCTGTGTACAGAATTCAGGAAGGTCTATAAACTTGAATAAGAAAAATATTGCATTTTTCTTTTCACTGACCTCTAAACGAACTTCGGTGTTGCCTTCTTAGAAACATAGGCAGCAAAGCTGCTGTAATGTCACCAGAAAAAATCATTTACTTTCACATCACTTTACAGGTATCTTGGAATGTCATGGATAATCAGCACTACTTTGAAATGAAAATAGCTTTTAGAACTACCATAAGATCTTGCTTAATGTGTTAATAAAGAAGCACATTTCTTATTATATTTCAAAGCTTTTATTATTTTGGTAACTATATTTCAGTCTGATTGGTTTCCCTTATCTTGTGTATTCTACTTGATGCATTATAAACATTGCTTGGAGAAGTGACTGTAGACTTCCCCAGGCTGTCAGAGGGCTCCAGGCATCAGTAAAGTGAGGAACCCTTATTCTAGGCGGAGGATGCCTCAGGCTCCTCTATTACCAGCCCACCCACCCAGCCAGCATCCAAGTCACTGTGAAAGGTGTCACTAGAAGCAGTGCTCCTGACATGCCCCTATTTCAGAATCCCCAGTTGTGGAGGAAGTGAGTTGATATACGTCTTAAAGAGCTTTTCTTTGTTTTCCGGGGAGGAGGATATTTTTCTTGCATTTCAACAGCAGAAATATGTGAGGAACTTAGTCGTTGAGCCTCTAACTCCCTCCAGTTTCTGTTAGCTTAAACAACTTCTCCAGCAGTTGCTGAGGGTTGTTTGCCTTTTATGACTTCAAACTGTATTTTGGCAACAGCGTGTCAAGAACAGGATTGAAGGGCTGTTTGTTTGTGGCAGCTGCCTTTGCTTCCACCAGAAGCTGTACCAGAGAACGTGCAGCCACAGAGAACAGAAACTAGGCAGTTCAGCCTGACTTGCTGGGCTTGCGTGTGGGAGGCAGCCAGCTGGCTCTGAGCAGGCCTACCCTCTACACTTCCTGCCAGGGACTGGGAACAGAGGCTGGCTGGTGGGCTGGCCCACTTTCCTTGCTCCCCAGGGGCTCTGCAGGGCTGCTTGGCAACCACACACAGAACCCCTCTTCAGCACAGAGCTGGTGGCAGTGGGGCCCAAACTGCTGCAGTGGCCAGGGTCTGAAGGAACCTGTGCAGACTCCCTGTGGGTGGGCATTTTCTCCTGTGCAAAGCTTACCCATGGTGAGGATGAATGCTTCTATAATCCTGACCTGCTTTCTCCAGCCCGTGGGTTTAGCTTCTAGTAATGAATGAACCTGAATGGAATCTTTTTGGCAGTAAAAGGCCCTAGCCTACCAGATTCCTGGTACCATGCTTCTTTTTTTGCCTGTTACCTTTTTGTTAAATTAACCTGGTTAATTTATGGTATGTGCTAAATTTTCTCACCAGAACTTTTCAGCTCATATTATTATTACAGGCCAGTATTCTCTTGAGCACCTTTACATCACCAACAGGTTATACAAGTAATACATGGTCAAGAATATCACTTCTTCCCACCACACAGATTGTAAAACTCATAATTCATAACTCATGACAGATTGGATAGAGCACTTAGAAGAGTTTTGCCTCACTGGGGACTAATTAGCCCTAGACTGAACAGTGGTCTGGACCAGTCTAAAATATTATAAATTATGACCCAAAAGGATCAGACTGTTTCCAAGTAACTTAACTGCATCCCAGAGCAAAGCTCAAGAATATTTATAGAAACACAAAACTCTCAGCACAGACGAAGGTGTAATCCAGTCAAGATTATCAGGTGGGCAAAGATGCAGAGACACACAGTCCATACTGAGAAAAATTTGCACTCATTCAAAACCAACCCAGAGTTGACACAGAGTTTAGAATTAGCAGAAGACACTTAAACAGTTATCATAACTATTCCATATGTTTAAGAAGTTGAAGCAAGAAAGATATTAAAAGACCCAAACTGAACTTCTAGAAATGAAACCAACTTTTAAGATGAAGAGTAGTTTATAGGACTAATGTGAGATTAGATAACACAGAAATAAAAGATTAGTGAATCTGAAGACCTAAGAAAAGAAACTAAAATAAAACATGAAAAGGAACTTTAAAAAGTGAAAAGAGCATTACTAAACTTTGGGACAGCCTTAAAACAGTTCAATATTCATGTTCTTGGAGTCTGTGAAGGAGAGGAGGGAAATAGTGGCCAACAGTTTTCCAAACTGAATGAACACTGCAAAACCACAGATCCAAGAGGCTCAGTGAAACCCAATCTCAAAAAACATGAGCAAAATGACACCAAGGCAAATCATGATCAAATTACTGAAAACCAGTGATGAAGAGAAAAAGTTTTAAAGTTGTAAAATTTTGAAAAAGTAGCCAGAGAAACAAACATGTTACAC